GGGGCGGAAACATCCCTACATATAGCAGGATGAGGCAAATGGCTAAGGAAATGAAATTTGAGCGCGGGTGGGAATTATCCCGGCGGGAGGATACATGATAAGCGGGAGAGTCTCAGTGCCTCAGGAGAGCCGAAAGATTCACACCAGGGGTGGAACGCAAGCCCTCCCTCCTTCACAAGGCCAGACAGATAACGCCGTCTGGCAGTACTGGCTCTCAGATCTCCGTAGCATTGTTTACGGCAAGCGGCAGAGCAGCGAGCAAGCCAGGATCAGAGAAGGGAACAAGCAAAACATGGCAGCTAGCTGACACCGCCCACCTCACAGGGTGTCTGTTGTGGGGAGGGGGAGGGAAAGGAGTTGGTGAGCCGCTCTGAGACTCCGAGGGAAGGGGTATAAATCCAATCTCTTCTTCAGTCACACGCTCGCAGGCTAACCTACTGCGCAGGGTTGTTGTGAGGATAAAACAGAGGAGGGGAGGACGACGGCTCCTCTGGATCCTCACTGGAGAGAAGGGCGGGGTACCAACGAATTAAATCAATAAATCTCCAGAGGCCCTGCTTCTGTTGCCCCCACCACCGGAGGCTAGAGACGGGGCCCTGTCAGTGGTGGCACGAAAACTGTGGGTCTCCCTCCCCGGGGAGGTTTGTCGGCCTATCTCCAGAGGCCCTGCTTCTGTTGCCCTCACCACCGGAGGCTAGAGACGGGGCCCTCTCAGTGGTGGCACGAAAACTGTGGGTCTCCCTCCCCAGGGAGGTTTGTCGGCCTCCCTCTATCGGTGCCCTCTGCCAGCCGGTGAAGATCTCTTTTTAGCTGTTACAGATTTCCCGGGCTGTCTGGCCGTGGTCTTGGCACTGTAGGACCTGACGTCTCACCAGTAGCTGTGACTGGCATCCTCAGAGTTTTCACACAAAGATGGATCTTTCTGTCTTATTACTCTGAGGATGCCAGTCACAGCTACTGGCGAGACGTCAGGTCCTACAGTGCCAAGACCACGGCCATACAGCCTGGAAAATCTGCAACAGCTAATGAACTCCGGCTGTGAAAGCCTTCAGCAACACATTTTGTTTTGTTTGGCATGCTCCCAATAGTAGAAGAAGAAGAAGAAGAGATTGGATTTATACCCCACCCTTCACTACCCAAAGGTGTCTCAGAGCGGTTTACAAACTCCTTTCCTTTCCCCTCCCCACAACAGACACCGGCTGTGAGGTCGGTGGGGCTGAGAGAGCTCTGACAGAAACGGCTCTTTTCCAAGGACAGCTCATATCAGAACTGTGGCTTGCCCAAGGTCATCCAGCAGGTCCAAGTGGAGGAGTGGGGAATCAAACCCGGTTCCTCCCAGAGTAGAGTCCGCGCACTTAACCACTACACCAAACTGTCTCTAAGAGATCAGTTCACCTGAAGAAAATGGTTGCTTTGGAAGGTGGATTCTGTGGCCTTATACTCCACTGAAATCCCTCCCCTCCCCAAAACCCACCCTCCTCGGGCTCCACCCCCAAAATCTCCAGGTATTTCCCACCCCAGAGCTCGCAACCCAAGCCAAACCTATCTCACAAGATTGCTGCAAAAAATAAAATGGGGAAGGGATGAACAAGAATATTGCTCTGAGATTCCTTGGAGGATAAGTACATTATTATTATTATTATTAGTAGTAGTAGTAGTAGTAGTAGTAGTAGTAGTAGTAGTAGTAGTAGTAGTAGTAGTAGTAGTAGTAG